GTCACAAAAAGACACAATTTCTTCTCATTTAATTTGAATCTATTAACGATAAAACCAGACATAAACATTGATTCTGCACCAAACTAGTTATGAAACTGAACCTAAATAAATAAATACATACATAAATAAATAAATAAATAAATCTAACATTAACATGACTAAAGTTAGTTATTTATGCATCAGGGACTGTTTTTTAACAAAACTTCTTAGTATTACTGTAAGAAAGACTGCTGAGAATGGACTTAAGTGTAAAAAAATTATTGGCTCAAAACTGGTCTAAAAAGTCATTTATCAAGCATTTCAGACTTTAAGTGAAGTGCCAGAGTAAACCTGAAGTGTCAGTTTTAGAGGTGATTCCAGCAAAGCTGATGGACGATGTCGTTAAAACCCCGGCGTGAACCAATCACTGCATCGGATTTCATGTTCGTTTCATTTTGAAGACATTTAAAGGGGACCTGTTATGCAAAATTCACTTTTTAAAGGTTTTTTTTTACTCAACTTTGGGTATGTACTTCTTAAAAAAACAGTCCTAGGACCAAAAACTGCACCCAGGGGCAGATTTACTGTAAGTAAATGTATTTTTAATGTATATTAACGACAAGTTTTATACTTCCGTCATTTTGTGATGTCACAAGCCGTACGACAACCCACCACATCCTGCGTTCAGCCCCCTACCTAGCAACCCCCGGGTGTGGCTCCACCTCCTCAGTATAAAAAGCCGTCATGGTGGTGTTGTGTAATGTGCAGCTCATTTCACAATGAGTCTCCAACAGGACAATGGGTAGAGTGTTGGACCAGAGAGTGGGAGACCAGGGTTTGAGACGGGCACAGACACTATTTAATTATTTATTTATTTTGGTTCGTTATGAACACATTTTCTCATGTAGCTCTATTGTTTAGCTTATTAAAGCCTTGTTAAAGCCTATTTGTCCGAGTTTCTGAGGTATTTTGACCGCTGCTGCTGCTCCCTGCTCTGGTAACAGCATGCAGAGTGAGCGCAGAGCAGAGGAGGGAGA